CCTGCAGCGTGCTCATGAATACTTGGTCAGCAAGCACCAGTCCCCATCGGACTTGAAGAGTTTCAAGAATCAGCTCTTTGACATTTGGTTTCGGCTCTACCACCGAGAACGAAGCGGGGGGTAGGTGATGCCCTACGTGGTCCAGCATGCGGAAAGTTTTTCAGACCCCTTCAAATTGTCTACAATCTGTTATGTTTTAGACCCATCATAAAATGAACTCTATTTTTTGATGATCAATCTACACCCAATGCTCCACAATGACAAAGCAAAATCAGGCTGTGAGTGTTGTTAACTTATTAAAAATAAAAACTGAAATATCCCTTTAGATAAGTATGCAGACTCTTCACTTGGTACTTGGTTAAAACACTTCTAACAGCAATGACCATCACATCTTCTTGAGAATGGCTCACTGTTTTTAGACGTTTCTCCCATTCTTCTTGGCAGAATCTTTCAAGCTCACCCAGGTTTGATGGGGAGCGTCGATGCACAGCCATTTTCAGGTCCAGAGATGCTCTATTGGGCTCAGGTCTGGACTTTGGCTGGGCTTGGGTTTTCCGTGAGAATTGCTCTGTATTGGTCTGAGTGTCTTTGAGGTGCTTTTTGGCAAACTACCTGCGGGTCCGCAAGTGCCTTTTAGTGAGGAATGGCTTCCAACTGGCCACTCTACCATAAAGGCCTGATTGGTGAAGTGCTGTACTGATAGTTATGCTTTTTTAAGACTGTCTGTCGTTCCAAATCTCTTCCATTCGAGGATCATGGAGGCTACTGTGCTCTTGGGCACCTTTTAATGCTGCAGAAATTTTCTTGTATCCATCCCCAGATCTTTCTTGCCGCAGTGTTGGTGGAACTGAGGAAATGGCTTGGTTTTCACTCTGACCTACTCAATCAACTTTGAGTCCTTATATAAGCAGGTGTCTGTCTTTCCTGATTGTCTAATGAATTCACTTTGGCGCAAGTGGACTCCAGTCAAGTTATAGAAGCATCTCAAGGATAATTGATAGAAGTAGGATGCCCCGGAGCTCAATTGCAAGTGTTATAAGGGTCTGAATACTTATGTAAATGGGATATTTCAATTTTTAATAAATTAACAAAATACTCCCAAAACCTGTTTTTGCTTTGTCATTATGGATTACTATGTTAAGACTAATTACAAACAAAATCCATTTTAAAATGAGTATGAAACATAGCAAGATGTGGACAACTTGAAAGGCTCTGTGAACTTTCTGTATGTGGTAAAATCCAGCAAATGAGTTGCAGTGTGTGACTGGGTAAATAGCTCACTTCTCATCCTGTCATTTATGTGTGCCAAACAGAGAAGACTCCTGTGGGTTTGAACACGTGTTTGTAGGGGAGACCAGAGATTCGAAGGAGCTCATAGGCTTTCACAACTGGGTCCAGTTCTACCTGCAGGAAAAGCTCAAAAATGTGGACTACAAGGGTTACAAGGCTGTAGGCAACAAGAACACGGTGAGGAAGGTGTCTGGCCTTTTATCTAGAATAAGTGAGAAAATGTCAAAAATGTGATCTCTTATGTATGATCCACTGAGTGCAGGATTATGAAAGTACTCCATAAGGCAGTAATACTTTTGGTAACCATTATTTGACCCCTGCAGCCAGATGAAGATGACCACGTCCTAAACCTGCAGTTCAGCTGGAAAGACCTGGTGAAACCTCTGGGCACGTCCTTCATTGGGGTCAGCCCTGAGTTTGAGGTGGCGGTCTACACCATCATCTTCCTCATGTCCAATGACAAAAAGACCAGTGTCATCGTAAATGTGGATGAGTACCAGCTGGAGCTGGTGGTGTGTCGGCATGGGCACGCCATTGGGACCTCCTACCCCAAACTGCTCAGCAATAACCACCAACACCGATAGGCAGAGGCTGGGTGCAGAACCCCAGGGTCTGTTCCTACAGCTGATCCCCCTTCCCTGCTGTTTGACCCTCATTGCAAATACCCAGTGCCGTGCCATGTTTCCTAATGCTTCTCTTACATTTACAGTGCATATCTCCACTGCAGACCCCCCCCCACCCCGGGCCAGTCCCAGGATCAGACCACGGTTTTCAACCAGTCATAGTTAGTCTGTTACATGACCATGGTCACATGTTCTTCTGTCCACTTGGTCACTTTGGTTCCAGGTGGTTGTCTGTTACTGCCCAGCAGATATCATATCCCTATTTTTAATGCCTTTGCTAATGTATAATCTTTTTTAATATACAAGTGCTTCTGCCTATATGGCACTTTTTACAGCAGTGGTTTGATTTTGCGCTATTCAATTTGGTCATTAAAATATACTAAGATTTCAAGCATCAAAAAAAACTTGTCTCAATTTTCTTAGAATGTAAAAAGCATGTTGCATGTTGATATTTTAATTTTGACTTCATTATTAGCAATCATGATTGGATGGTCTGAATTGTGATTTGATTTGCTGAGTAGGCTGGATTAGATTGAGCCTAGGATCAGTCTTTGGGACATGATAGACTGGGCAATGGGGTCATAATTAGCTTCATCCACCACACACAATTTTGAATAATATACTTGCACATTGTATGAAAATGTTCCCTTGACTTGCTAATAACTTGTTGCAAAAAGCAACAATTTGACATGTTCTCGTTCTCAGATCAACCTTTAAAAAAACAAAAAACATTTATTTTTGGTTAATTTATTTAGCCAGAATCTACGGTGGACATTAAGAATCCTTACAGCTTCATTCTTCACCAGAAACTCCCGAAAGCATTTAAATGGTCAAGCAGCTGGGAAATGGATGGTTGGTGTCACCTTGGAATGATGAATGAATGGCCCTCATTTTCTGAATCACGCAGAGACAGGATTTTTATTTGAGCTGCATTTCTCATGTCAGATTGTTTCTACTGGAACACCAGTGGGCAGCTGAATCTGCCTGATCATGAGCCTGAAAATGTGTCCTTTGTTCATTTCCAGATCTGAGAGCTCAAACACACGAGGATCTGTATCATCTCTGCAGCAGTAGTAGCTAGTTTAGTGGTTAAAAACTCCTATGCCAGCAGTATATTATCCAACAGGACACGGCTTTGTAGGACCGTTTAGCTGAACACTGAGTGTTTTGGAGGCTCATTGTTTAACTCAGCTGATTGTTTTCTGACCCAGTGGAGCACCTGCTATCTGATCACCAAAAGTTCACCGAAATACAATAATAGAGTTTAATCAGACCAGAATCCATTTGAGGGCTTGATATCTAAAGAGTTTAAAACCCTGGAAACGAAGCAATTGCTTTAGCAGTTATGACACTTGAAAGATGCTTTCACTACATCTCTTCCTGTTGTCTGAGTAGCCTCATGCATATTGGTTCCATGGGGCACCATCACTGAAAACAAACATGTTTACACATTTTATAATTGGTCACTGTAGGTCACAGAGCAGTGGGAACCACCATACTGCAACTTATATGAGAATAATCTTCAAAACATTGCTGATGGTATGATAAGCAATGCATGTGACTAAATCATGAAAATTGTTGTTCATTATATATAAAAATACTATGATGGTTTATGATGTATTTTTTTTTTTATCAATTGGGGTTCACATTGGACTACGTGACTGAGGACATAATATAAAAATAAAGTAGCAGGTGAAGTCAGGGTTTGAAATCTCTGTAGTGCAAATCATGGCATGTGTGGGTGTTCATGTATATCCATTCACTCAATTTTAATACAAGTCTATGGCCCTAGGGAGGACAAATCGGGAAAAACATTCACACGGTCACATAGAGAAAATGTGAACGCACAGTTGGAGTCAACATTAATTTGGAAATTCTCGTCTATGGTCTGTGGGTGGTAATTGCAGCACCCAGAGGCAAACAGAAGAATACAGAGAAACCACGCAAATACTCTGGAGCGTAGAAGCAACACAACAACCTATAGAGCCATCAACCCCCCTGTGTAAAACCAACCACAATGTCTGCAGCCTCACATCTGACTGAACAACATAGGAGACCAACAAATTACAACCAAATCCATCTCTGTGTTAGTGGTGCTATTAGAATAGAAAAAGATTAGTTCATAATTACAATTACAGGCAGTGTATGGTCCTAAACTGATAGCATCAAATTAGGATTCGTTTCATACTTTCGTTTAGGCCACTTAAAATTAATAAATTGTTTTACATGGCCGCCCGCCTCAATTTTTTGGTGCCGCCTCGATTTTTTTTATATTTTATATTTTTCAAAAAATCTGTTTTTTTCACCTCAAAAACTGTCAGAGATCGTCAATGTGCCAAATCCTGATATCCTGTGCACTGTGAGCAAGTAGTCTCTTGTAGGGTGGTCCAATAATAGTGACCCTCATTGAGGTCAAACAACAGCACTTCTATTGTTTGAAACAATGGAAGTGCTGTTGTTTTGCTACTGTTGAGAGCTGACTGAAAATCCCTTAATTGCTCTGTACAAAGGCAGAATTGGCCGTTAAAATTGGACGCTTTTATTGGGCCATTCTGTGGCAAGACCATTAAACACTTAGACTAGGCATTTGTTTTGAAGGGTTCTCTTTTCTTGTAATTGTTTGAACTGTTGAGAGTTTAAAATGTTGAGATACTGATAAATTAAAGTTTAATTTTCTAGTTTTAGTATATCTCTGTTGCCGATCGTCTTTTCGCTAAAAATATAAAATCCCCTACTCACCAATATTTTAGAAGTTTGAGTCATGTAAAACAATTTATTAATTTTAAGTGGCCTTATAGAAATACTAATGTGTTGTAGCAGGGGAGTTTTTAGCTATTGAAAAGATTAGGAGCGAAGTCAAGTTTACCTGAGACTTGACTTTTTTTGAAGAAAGATTGGCATCGGGGCTAAAATACTTGGGTCAAGGCTTAAAATACTTTGGGTTATAGACCCGAGAGATCGGACCTAACGACGCCCACGTGCTGTAGAATTGCACCTAGGCTTCGACGAGAACAAGCTAAGCGCTAAAGATGAAGTTAAGACTTTGGGACACTTGCGCCCTGCACCGGAAGTGTATTGGTCCCCCGGAAATATAATCCTCCGGTGCGTTTCTGCACGGTGGAATATTTATGCAGCACCCGTCAGTTTGGGTTACACGTGTATAGCAATTGTTTTATGTTCATTGTGGAGGTATTGCGATAGTTAACCGCTGTCTCTGGGGCTTTTGTGACAGGCGGAATTATGGAGGTTCTTGGCGAGGAGTTTGGTGCTATGACGCCGCAGCAGCTCGCCGCTCCGGTTAATACGGTGGAGGTGAGACTTTGAGAGGTCCATCTGCCGTCAACTGCGGCACACATTCGGTCTAAACGAATTCTGAAAATGTGATGTTAAAACGCTATATAATGTACTGTAATACCTCGCCTCCAGTACCTTACAGTTTTACCATATCTCTTTCTTTTTTAGGAAAAGTGGAAACTTTTGCCAGCCTTCTTGAAGGTAATTTTTGACCAGTCATAGGCTGACTGAAAATCCCTTAATTGCTCTGTACAAAGGCAGAATTGGCCGTTAAAAGCACAATATCGTGCTGATGGTGCTGGGAGTTCTGGTTTGCTTCACTGGTTCTGCTTATGATGACGGCCTCCTGCGGTGGATGCAGATTACTACACGAGCTGCAAACCCACAAGGCAGTATAGAAACTCGGGGATGCTTTTGATGCATAAAATCATTTTCCAGTTAATCGGCTTTTAAATGCCATTTAACTGGAATCCGTATTCATAATAATTTTGCCTGTACTATCTCGATATATTCTGTATTATCTCAAGTGAAATGGATTGTGTTTTTTAGGTGAAAGGGTTGGTGAAACAACACATTGACTCTTTTAACTACTTCATTAATGTAGAGGTAAGGGTATCGTGATTAATTTATATAGTGGTGTGAATTGTTTATGTAGTAGTACTGCATTTCAGTACCACTTAACATCATCTTGCCTTTTAACCATTCCAGATAAAGAAGATCATGAAAGCCAATGAAAAGATAACCAGTGACGCTGATCCCATGTGGTATTTAAAGTAAGTTCCCGGCATGCTTGAGTTGAGATTATTGGGGCATCAGCAATCTTACCAGTCCACCGCCCAACTCTGCATGTAGGTACCTGAACATCTACGTGGGGATGCCTGATGTGGAGGAGAGCTTCAACGTCACCAGACCGGTGTGTCCACATGAGGTAAGTGGTCCTTCTCGGAGAGCAAGTGTGCTGGGTCCCCCTGATGAGGCTCATTGAAGCTAGTGTTGCTGAATTGGTTTCTCATTTTGCTGTGCATAGAATCTTGTATTACTCTGCACCGAGGTGAGTCGTTTGTCCTCCGTCCAGTGCCGTCTGCGGGACATGACCTACTCTGCCCCCATCACGGTGGACATAGAGTATACACGAGGGACCCAGCGCATCATCCGCAACGCACTGCCAATTGGAAGGTGAATCGCTTGTGTCGGAGGCATTGGCGTTAAATTGACTGTTTATGGTACACGTTTATTTACCAAAACATGGGAAAACTTTCTTGGTAAAGATCAACTTAATTGATCCCCGGGGGAAATGCATTGGCATACAGCAACCAGGTAGATTGTGTGTGTAGTGCAAGACAGTACATAACGTATCGACAAATAAACTTAACACAAATTTGTTTAAAAATTGCACAAACTTAAGAGCAATGTGTACATTTTGTGTTAGGACATGCATGTGCTGTAACACAGTCATGGAAATTTTATGCCGTTTTTGCAGTTTCTTCCAATTACATGGAAGGTAATTTAATGTGAAATATTACAGCTTTCTCCCTGATTTGAAACCGTGGATTTAGCCTGATGTTTGGTTATGAGCTGTAGGGTAATGACATCCCTGTGTCAGACAGACAGCTGGTCCGGCTCTCCCTACTGACTCCTCTGTCCTGCCCTCCCACAGCTGTTCAGCTGACCTCCTTTTAGCAGGGTGGAGTAACAGAGATGGACCCGGCATGAACATGTGTTGCTAGCAGATATTTGATAATGACTCTAGTAATAGTTCAGATGGTTGTGGGACCATCTGTGCCATGTGCCAGCATGTTTGCAAGTTGATTGACCCTTGGAATGGCATGTTACATTGTTACATTTTGGGTGTGTTACTCCATATCCCATCATTGATGCCATGCCCGATTGTGCCCGGAATTCAGGAGCCGCCAACAAAGCTACATGTCCTGTATCCCTCTTTCTGAAGAAGCCCCCCCTTTATCCCCCCAGAATGCCTATCATGTTGCGTAGCTCCAACTGTGTCTTGACGGGGAAGACGCCTGTCGAGTTCTCCAAGCTGAACGAATGCCCTCTGGATCCAGGTGCGTGGAACATGGAACATGATCACTTTGCTCCTTGGGGCTGCCTGGTCCCGCGTTCTCCAGATTCCAGAATGCTCTGCTAGTCGGAACAGATACCCCCCCCCCCCTCCAATAAAACACTGACCATAAATATAAAACCTCCCCCTTATTGATGGTCTACTGTCCAGGAGCGTAAACATATTTTTGTTGCTGTAGGAGGTTACTTCATTGTTAAGGGCCAGGAGAAGGTCATTCTCATCCAGGAGCAGCTTTCTAAGAACAGGATCATTGTGGAGCAGGACCGGAAGGGGGCCGTTGGGGCCTCTGTGACCAGGTACGGTGACTCCTCTTCACCCACCTGATTTTCGGTTGATTCCAGCCTTTGTTGTGATAACCTATTCATTATAATACAGTAACCCAAGCAGGGACTGATGCTGAGCTTTGGTCTCTCTCTGTCTCTTTCAGCTCCACCCACGAGAAGAAGAGCAGAACCAACATGATCGTCAAGCAGGGTCGGTTTTACCTGAGGCACAACACACTCTCTGAGGATGCCCCAATTGCCATCATTTTTAAGGTGAGTTTTAACGTGCCTCTTTGTGTGACCCTCTGCATTCCATCCATCCCTTCTTCCTGAATACAAACCTGGCTTGATGACCTTTTAAGTAAAAGCCCCACTTTCTCTCCCTGCAGGCCATGGGTGTGGAGAGTGACCAGGAGATCGTGCAGATGATTGGCACTGAGGAGCATGTGATGGCTGCCTTTGCTCCAAGTCTGGAGGAATGCCAGAAGGCCCAGATCTTCACACAGACTCAGGTCTGTACCTTGCCAGCTGGTCTTAAATCTTTCCAAGTCATTCTCAGTATCTTACTTGGAATGTTCTGTGACTTCTGGAATGCTGGGATTTGTAGGCCCTGAGATACATTGGAAACAAAGTGCGCCGTCAGCGAATGTGGGGGGGTCCAAAGAAGACCAAGATGGAGGAAGCCAGGGAGTTGTTGGCATCCACCATTTTGACACACGTACCTGTATGTAAACACTGTCTTCCTGTGAGCTCTGTGTAGCCAAACTCTCTGTCTTTGGGGTGCTGATTTCGCTTTACCTCTGGTGGCCTTTGTGCTCTCACCTTGAATGTGTCCCCTGGTTTTTCTGGATATTGGGTGAATTTTTCTGTGCAGGGGTTGGCCAAGTTGGCAGGAATGTGAATTAATCTAGATTAATTTTAATCTGTGCTTCCACTGAGTGTCAAGACCTTTTGAAGGTGACTTTGGCTACTGGTGGACCTTCCAGGTAAAGGAATTCAACTTCAGAGCGAAGTGTATTTATCTGGCGGTGATGGTCCGGAGGGTGATTTTGGCTCAAGGGGACAATAAGGTGGATGACCGAGATTACTATGGAAACAAACGTCTTGAGCTGGCCGGACAGGTGAGCTTATTTCCGTATCCTTATGGTGAATGGCATGACTGGACATTTAGGATGAACTCTTAACCTTCTGAATTCTACACAGCTGCTCTCACTACTCTTTGAAGACCTGTTCAAGAAATTCAACTCGGAACTAAAGAAGATCTCTGATCAGATCATCCCCAAGCAGCGAGCTGCCCAGTTCGATGTGGTTAAGCACATGCGGCAGGACCAGATCACCAACGGCATGGTTAACGCTATCTCGACTGTGAGTATCAGGCACCAGATGGCTGACCGGTTGCTTTCCCTGACTCAACTCAGTAACATCGTGTTGGTTTCACAATGTCTTGCAGGGAAACTGGTCACTGAAGAGATTCAAGATGGACCGACAGGGAGTGACCCAGGTTTTATCCCGTCTGTCCTTCATCTCAGCTCTTGGCATGATGACTCGGATCTCCTCACAGTTTGAGAAGACCAGGAAGGTCAGCGGGCCGCGCTCGCTGCAGCCCTCCCAATGGGGCATGTTGTGTCCCTCCGACACACCTGAAGGAGAGGTTAGTGGGGACACCACACAACACCTTACCACACCCAGTATAATGTTCTTTATTTGTTATAGAAAACTTCTTTGGTTCTTGTTACCTGCTACTCTGACATTGGTGCTCATATAGTGAAAACTGTGGAACCATACCTCTGCTCCATGTGTATCAGGGCTTCACAGTAATAAAATGATGACATGAGGTTCTACCCTGTGGGTTCTGCATCCAGGCCTGTGGGCTGGTGAAAAACTTGGCCTTGATGACTCACATCACTACTGACATGGAAGATACACCCATCATCAAGCTGGCCTTCAACCTGGGCGTTGAGGACGTTAACCTGCTGTGTGGAGAGGAGCTGTCCTACCCCAGTGTCTTTCTCGTTTTCCTCAACGGTAAATGCCATTCTGCAGAGGCAGTCTCCCACGAAGCAACCCTGACCAGCCATGCACACTCATCTGCTAACCCTGCAGAGATTTGACCCTCTGACCTGTCTGGTTGATGCTGCCTCTGCTTGTATATGTGTGTGTGTGTGTGTGTGTGTGTGTGTGTGGGGGGTGGGTGGTTCCACAGGTAACATCCTGGGCGTGATCCGAGATCACCAGAAGCTGGTGAACACTTTTCGACTGATGAGGAGGGCCGGGTTCATTAACGAGTTCGTCTCCATCTCCACCAACCTGACCGACCGCTGCGTGTACATCTCATCTGATGGGGGGCGGCTATGCAGGTGGGGGCAAGGAGGGGATGTGGGTGGGACTTGCATTGACATTTCAGTATGAGAAAACCATATGTTCTATACAGCAGCGATACCATTGGTTTGGAACTGGGGTTTACTCTGTGGTTTAGAATGGAAGTAGGGGTGTTCTATGTATTGCAAAAGAGTTAACTGGAGTCAGAATAGGGATGGGCTTTACTGCCTGCTAGAAGTAGGATTGCGTTCTGTATTATCGGAACATACTTAGACTGCATTGATGCTTAGGCTGAGGTTAGTTTCTTTTTCTTGCAGGCCGTATATTATTGTGAAAAAGGCCCAGCCAGCTGTGACCAACAAGCACATCGAGGAACTTTCCCAAGGATACAGGTGGCCACACTTCCTAATTTTAGTCTTTGGCATTTAGTTGTGTTGGTGTCAACAATGCATTCATCACACTGTGCGAGTCTCAATGGTCATGAAGATTTGGTCCTGACTGCATGCTTTCAGGAATTTTGAGGACTTCCTCCATGAAAGCTTGGTGGAATATCTCGACGTGAACGAGGAAAATGACTGCAGTATAGCCCTTTACGAATACATGATTACAAAGTAAGTCTTTCTCACCAACTCTGCCCTAAACAGCTGTGATGTTCATTTCTGCATTCATAAGGATCCTTGGGGGAAGAAGCATTGCAGGATTGAGGGTAATTGTTTAGAACTCTAAACAATTGCCATTATCTACACACTTTTCTCTGCAGGGACACCACGCATCTAGAAATTGAACCATTTACTCTGCTGGGAGTGTGTGCTGGTCTGATTCCCTACCCTCACCACAACCAGTCCCCCAGAAACACCTACCAGTGTGCTATGGGCAAGCAAGCAATGGGTGAGGGGAGTGTGTGTGTCTGTGGCATGTATTCAGCATAACTTGGATTATCGTTCATGTTTTAATGTTTCTGTTGCTGCCTCCTATAGGGACAATTGGGTACAATCAGCGGAACCGCATTGACACGCTGATGTACCTGCTGGCCTACCCTCAGAGGCCAATGGTCAAGACCAAGACCATCGAGCTGATCGACTTTGAGAAGTTGCCCGCTGGCCAGAACGCTACTGTGGCGGTGATGAGCTACAGCGGCTACGACATTGAGGATGCGCTGGTGCTGAACAAGGCCTCGCTGGACAGAGGTGGGATGTCATTTCGGGGTTGATTGGAGCTTCCAAAGGGGGGGGGGGGGCTTCTGGGTGGGGCTGTCGATTTGAAGCTTTCGCCGTTTGACCTTCCTTGTAGGGTTCGGCAGATGCCTGGTCTACAAGAATGCCAAGTGCACTCTGAAACGCTACACCAACCAGACTTTCGACAAGGTGATGGGGCCCATGCTGGATGCTGCCACCCGCAAGCCCATCTGGCGACACAGCATCCTGGACGCCGACGGCATCTGCTCCCCTGGTGAGACCTTCTGCCTGGGCTCTGTCTCCATGGCTGGCCTGTACTCTGCTAGCTGCCTCTCTTTGCAGTTAATCGGGGAAAGAATTAAGCTACACAGGGCTCCAGCCCCCCAGGACTGGAGTTTGACACCTCTGCTATAACCCATTTGATTGTAGTCTGCAATAATATCTATGGCTGGAAGGTCTGAAGCCCTGTCTGATTTCCCTTGTTCCACGTGTCCAGGTGAGAAGGTGGAGAACAAGCAGGTTCTGGTGAATAAGTCCATGCCCACTGTCACACAGACGCCCCTAGAGGGCGGTACCCAGCCGGGACAGCCGCAGTACAGGGAGGTCCCCGTCACGTAAGTGTTCTTTGCTTGATCCTGTTCCCTTGAGGTTGGATGAGAGTCTTACAGAAAGTGAAAGTGGTCTCTGCCTGTCACCAGCTGCAACTTGCTCCTTATCCTACAGGTACAAAGGCTCGACGGACTCCTACATCGAGAAGGTGATGATCTCCTCCAACGCAGAAGACGCGTTCCTCATTAAGATCTTGCTGAGACAGACCAGGCGTCCGGAAATCGGCGACAAGTTCAGCAGCAGACATGGGCAGAAAGGTTGGTCAGCGTCTCCTGGAAGGTGTTTAGACCACTTTTCTCTTGTCTGTGATCATGGTGTAGCACCGGCTCTACCGTATGTCATGGACATGTAAGAGTGGGTTATGTGAGTTTTATTTGTCAAACTCGTCCTTGGAGTCCCCCAGACAGTCTACGTTTTTGCAACTGGGCAGCTGAGAGGGAGCAAAAATGTGGATCATCTTAGGGTCTCTGTGGACCAATTTGAGAAACACTAGGTTATGTGGAACTTAAGTTCCTTTCTCTTACAGGTGTTTGTGGGTTAATTGTCCCACAAGAGGACATGCCCTTCTGTGACTCTGGAATCTGCCCAGATATCATCATGAACCCCCATGGCTATCCCTCCCGTATGACGGTATGTCCACTAGGTGGTGCTTTTGACTCTTAACTCCTCCAGCCAGTTTGGACTGTGGATTCCATGGCTACGTCACACACTTGTTTACACACATGCTTTTGTTTCAGGTGGGGAAACTGATCGAGCTGCTCGCCGGCAAGGCGGGGGTCCTGGATGGCCGGTTCCACTACGGTACGGCCTTTGGCGGCAGCAAGGTGAAGGACGTCTGCGAGGACCTCATCCGTTACGGCTATAACTACCAGGGGAAGGACTATGTCACGTCGGGCATCACCGGGTGAGTCGGGCAGTCCCCTGTAGGGGGCAGTATAGAGTGTGGGATGGCTTTGCTGCTCTGTGTGGACTCTCACCTTCTCCTTCCCAGGGAGCCACTGGAGGCCTACATCTACTTCGGCCCAGTTTATTACCAGAAGCTTAAGCACATGGTTCTGGACAAAATGCACGCGAGGGCCCGTGGACCCAGGGCTGTTCTCACCAGGTGAGGAGTAGTGGCTTCTGGGAAATGGAGTGTCCACCAATGCATGCATCCGGCATCTTCATTTCGCTTGATGTTTTGTTAATTCAGAAGCTGGATAGCAGTGGAATGTCTATGCACATCCTGTTGTCCCATCTGCAGGCAGCCCACTGAGGGGCGCTCTAGGGATGGCGGCCTCCGTCTGGGGGAGATGGAGAGGGACTGTCTGATTGGTTATGGGGCCAGCATGTTGTTGCTGGAGCGGCTCATGATTTCCAGCGACGCATTCGAGGTAGACGTCTGTGGACAGTGCGGCCTGCTGGGATATTCCGGCTGGTGAGTGTCTTGGGAGGTGGCGAAGGATGCTGGGATACTGGGGGTTAGGTCATAAGAGGTTTAGTTTATCTGAATGACAAAGGTAGACTTTGGTAGTATGAACCACCCAGCCCATGTGACACAAACACGGCTGTGTCTCTGCTGGCTCCGCCCACTCTAACATGTCTCTGGGCCGCAGGTGTCACTACTGCCGCTCCTCGTGCCACGTGTCCTCGCTGCACATCCCATACGCCTGCAAGCTGCTCTTCCAGGAGCTGCAGTCCATGAACATCGTGCCACGTCTCAAGCTGTCCCGCTACAATGAGTGAGGGGAGGGG